ATTTAAATACAATCATTTAGTAAGTTGCATATAAATTGTTAAAAACATATATTTTAACAATGCAATAAGTAAAATAATATAATAAATTAAAAATCTTTTGAAAACGTTCTTTATTAATCACATCCATGTTGGTAAATCCATTAGTAATTAAATTTATTACCTTTGTGTTTATTATAATTATTATTAATTTAATTGATCAACAATCTGGAAAGTATTAGCATACTGGAATTCTGGGCTGTTCTCATACTCACACATGTCTAAAGCAATTTCACAACTTTCTTTAACCACTTGTTTTTTGTCTTGTAAATATTTTTGTAAAATTTCAAAACACTGCTCTGTGGCAATTGCACCTAATGCCTCTGCACATTCATGTCTCACCATCTCATTTTCAGAAGAATCTTCTAATGATTCGATTAAATATGGTACACTTAACTCATCTTGAAGTTGTCCTAACACAAAAGCTATTTCATGACGAAACAAAGCACCACCTTGCTTCAATCCTAATGCTAGTGCTTCAATAGATTCCTTTGTTCTTAAATTTCTTAATGCAAACATTGCTCTATAGCGTTCAAAAAGACTTTCATGATTCAGAAGAACATCCTTTAACTTGTTCACATCTTCAACATTCATAGGTGGAGCAGGATCAACCGAATTGTAGGGATTTTTTGATAAACTTTTCTCCGTATTTTCCTTACTATTCAACCACTTTATTCTATCTAAAGCCAATTGGCATGTTTCAGCAACTTCTATAACAGGATCATTTACATATTTTTCCAAAACTGGGATAACCTTAATAGATCCAATAGCACCCAGGGCTTCAGCTGAAATATATGCATTAAATAAGTATGGTGTTTAATAATGTCAAAATTAAAAAAAATGTGGTATACACCTGCTTCATGTCGAACCATGGGCTCTTGACCAGTGTCTTGTAAAACCTTAATTAACAGATCAATAGCAGATTCGTCTTGCATTTGTCCTAAACAATAAGCCAATTCATGCTTCAAAAGGGCAGAACTATCAGCAAAACATTGTCCAATACATTCTATCGAAGTAGAACCACCGATATTTCTCAAAGTAAACAATGCTCGAAATCTCTCTTTTAAAGGTCTCTTAACATCATTTAACACTTTACCGATGTCTCGAATTTGGCTTTCGTTAATATTTACCATAATTACTCAACGAATAATAAAAACAGACGCGTGACCAAGAATTTAAAGTTATGAAAAACAAGGTTAATTTTATAGGTTAATTGCTTTTGATACTTTTGGTAGTTTAATCTATGAACAATAGGAAGTTGTGGTCAAAGTCTCTAAGATCTGCTAAAAATCATATATTTCCTTTTAAACCTTTTCACTTCATAAAACATTTATTAGTTAACTAAACGTCTTCTAGTTATATAGTTTAGTAAATTTTAATAGAATAAAGTAACTGCAATAGAAAATTATTTAGGTGAATCTATAGTTAGTGGCCATTGATGTTTAGTTGAAGAACCCTTTGTATATCTATTATCTATGGTGAAGAACAAGAAGAAATTATGATGACGTTTACATAACCTTGCTTTCAAAGTCTGTAATAATTTTAATAACAATGTCGAAAATAAACAAAATTCCAACTTTAACAGCTGAAACTGCCATCTCAATTTTAAGTAAAACTCTAGAAGAGCTGCAGACTCCAGAGAATTCTCAAAAATTGGAAGAAGCTCGAGACAATGTAGGGAACGAAATGTTAAAAATTATGCAATACGTTTTTCCAGTAGTCATGCAAATACAGATGGATATTATTAAAGATTATGGCTTTCCTGAAGGCAGAGAAGGAATAGTAAAATTTTCCCAAATGATACGAAATTTAGAAAGAGAAGATGCAGAAGTTGCCCGTCTTCATGGTATCATTCGGTCATTCTATTTACCTCCCATCAATTCAACAGGTGATCAGTCTGATGACAGAGGAAGTAGTAATTAATAAACTAGATTAGAATAAAACATATTAATTATAAGTACTTATGTTATGTGTAATAACAATTGTAATTGTAAGACTGAATTATTTAAATTCGCAATAGTGTAAAATCTTATGGAAAGATTGAATTGCTTAATAAAATAAATAAGGCTTTTTATTATTTTTTTAATTAGATAAAGGATATAAAAGTAAAATGGTTATGTATGTATATTTATACTTAATTTGTACAAACACTAGGTACTAATAGTTTTATTATTGTAATAGTTTCTTTTTCAATAGCTCATTGGGCAGTTATTGAATTTATTTTTCTCATTCTCTTAAATGAAATAAATACCGAACAAACAAAAGTGGTTTCAGTAATATTTAAATGAAAGAAAACATAAATTTTACATCGACTTTATTACTTTAATTATAAATGTAATTAAAATATGCTTTATGTGAATTTTAACTCTTACCCATATTGCGAACCTTTACATGAACGTTTCTGCAGACAAATGTTGAACAATATAAATAAAATAAAATGAATAATACTATCTACATAGAACCTCTTTAAAATATAACTGGAAGTAAATATATATATATATACATTTCTTTTATTTTCATCATAAATGAACTACATAAATTACTGAAAAGCATCTGAATGTAATATTTATGTAGTTTAAAATAAGCAATTACTATGAAATGAGTAACAAAAAATTATTGAAAATAAGTAATTCAATTTTAGTTGATAAAGTCATAAATGAATTGATTAAGTCAATTTGTGT